GGTATGTGACTACAGAGATCAAAAATCCACTTTGTTGTCTCTGACCACATGATTTTAAGCGGAATGTCGTGATGGGTGCGGTCAGACGTTTTCATGTTTGCGAAATGAATCGCCGTAAAGGATAAAACAAAGCATTTTTAAACAAAAACAAACCTTTATCTGACTTCAATAAGAAACTTTATATGAAACAAACATTATGTAGGTATATACTTCCTAACATTGTATAATATACTATTTTCTTCTTTTCTTAGATTCACACAAGTATTTTATCGGTTTATTGTTATGATAAGTCATCATCATCATTGTCATCACCATTGCAGACTATCGAAGTCCACTGCCGAATATAGGCCTCCCAAATAGATTGCTTCAAAGGCAGAATATTTGCCACAGTTGCCACGGTTAGTTGACATAGTTTTTTGGTATTTAACTATACATTAAAATATCTAAAATATTTTTATTTCAGACGTCAAAGACTTAAATAACGCATAAATAATAAAATAAACCTAGACACTTCAAATGTTTAATGAGTTCAGATTGTCTATGTGGCATCGATTTTGTTTAGCAGCGTACTTTTGTAAAAATCTAAATGGGAGATGTAGAGCTATATTGTGGGCTCCACAACACGTACTCTTAGAGTTGTATTTGCGCTATGTTCCTGGTCTCACGCTGGTTGCATACGGGTATTAATCAACGCACCTTCTCAAAAAGAGTAAGAAGCCCTTCATTATCGTTCTTGTGTGCTAGTCACCACGAGAAAAGACTCTGTATTTACACTTTCTCGTGTTGGAAATAATATAGCTACTATTACGATATCCGGGTACCATTTTTACATTCTGCGAAGATCTGCGCGATTTGGAATGATTATCAAGAAGATACTTCTGCTCATTTCCTGTTCCATTTTCTTTTGTCGCGTTTACGTCATCCAAGTGATAATATGGGGTGGTGAATTTTCTTACGCTGCCACTGTAAAAGTTTGGTATCCATAAGTAAAAACTCCCAAATGGAAAAGGAATTCTGCTGTCTATATCTGGTATCACTAAGCAATCGTTCTTTTATTAACAATATACTAAAAAAATTTTTGCATATTTAAGTGATTTATAATATTAATTCTATAGCTGTTACTAATGATTTGATCAAAGTAACTTACCTGTAAATGTACTATGATCAAAATTATATGAAGTTGAAGCCTCCCCTGTGTTTGTATACTATGTAGTCATGAATTGACGGATCGAATCACACGAGTTTTAATCTTCCGAGTAAAAATAAGATTTTTGTTGGTATACCAACCTATATGAACTACCACTGGCAACACTATCCACCTCATGTCATTGTAAGTTTATATCCATTAGAATTAGGTAAAAATAATTAAAATGCAAGCAAGACCTAAGGGCGGGTAATAATATACACCAGGGTAGAGTTGAACACAAAGGAGGCGTCAACTTCATATAATTTTGATCGAAGGACACTTACAGGTAAGTTACTTTGATCAAATAATTACATTCGTAGACGTCTCCTGTCTGTTTGTATACTACGTAGATGTTTAAAGATTCGATTACTTCATTTTAATTATTTACAGTCATAAATTGTCATAATTAATAATTTACAATAAAACAAACATTGAAAATTATATATAAATTTGGATAATATAATTTCACATTATGAATTACTGTTTATTTATTTTATACTATTTTAAATAGGAACGCTAATATTGATTTTAATTAATAATGATCTATTACAAAAAATGTAGAAAGTTTTGTCTATAAGTTTGTTGTCTTTCTAAGATTTTCAATATCAATACCATTTGTTCTAGGATAAGAAGTGGATAAATTCCTGGTACCATGAACAGTAAAACTTAATGTATTTTCTTGTTAAAATACTTTGTCTAACTAGCCAAATAGATAAAGTATTTTAACAAGAAAATACATTAATTTTTACCGTACATTGTACATTTATAAAACTGCTTCATATCCCTGCAATAAGTTAGACAACTTATTGCGGGGATATTATGCTGTTTGAAAATAAACAATTAATTTACTAAATTTCATACAGTTTTAGTGACATACATATGATATTGTGAGGTAACTTATGCAGTGGCAAAATTATAAACTGTGCACAACTGACTTCAATATAAATAAAATGAGAACGTCATCAATGTATTCGAACTCAATTAAATACGCATTATTGAAGACAACTCAAAAACTACTTATCAGATCCCGATAAATTTCACATGGGAGCACACGAGAATTACAAGCTTTTAAATTAAAATAAGATTCATCAAAATCGCCTTACTCAGAGAAAAGTTATGAGGTAACACATATATACAAAATATACAGTCGAATTGAACACCTCCTCTTTCTTTAAGTCGGTTATAAATACTCATATTTTCTCTTATTATTTTTGTGCTTTTTCTTTTTTTTTATGAAATTCGGCTATATAAACCAAATTGTGCTAGACTTTTGCTTTGATCGTATTCTATTTTTTTTTCATCTTACTAGAAAAGAACCATTTAACTTCGCAATATGGACCCAAAACATAATAGGAAAAACAATAAGTAAATTTCTTACTTTACTTACCACGACTTAAGACGATAGATATACTGTATATACATGCAAGGGCTTAATGAATATTTTATGCTTTCCATACATAAATACTGCACTACCTCAATAAGAAAATGTTACATGACAGTTGTTGACCAGGGTAAGAATTATAATAAGTCTTTTTTTTTTGTATTTTAAACAAGGATTTAGTAACAGGCTTATGAAGACTATAAGGTTATTCTTTCTTCTGTATTCCGTATTTTAAGATTGTGCGAAGCCCATTTACAATACATTAATTGTAATATCCATTAAGGTGATGTGGGCGCCAAAAGAAGATTTTTCACGCTTTGTAGGTGCGCAGAAAAGCAATATTATGTCATTAAAACTACGAATCCACTTTTTTTAAATTTATTATGAAAGTTAAAGAATTTTCTTAGTGAATTATATTTGCCAAAACACCATTGACACGTTTTGGCTCGATAGAAAAAGATCGCAAAGTTTGCTCAAAATCTACAATTTTAGGTACGTCAACTAAGTGAAAAAGCTGATTCAATCGAATGTAATGAAATCAATTTCAATTAAATTCAGGCTATGTGTTCACCAGTAAATTGCGTGAGTGAAATAAGGGTTTATTTTTCAATAAAAGAGTAAATATAATTTTGAAACATCTACCACTAGAGATGTTCAGTAAACCTTACGATGAAGCTCATGGTAGGTTGCGGCAAAACTATAAATTGTGATAGTATTTATTATACGTTCACAAACTTATTTTTATACAAGTCTTAATATTAGAAAATATAACAATGTTTATCTGTGATAGCATTTACTATATGTTCATAAACTTAGTCTTCTTAATATTAGAAAAAATAAAATTGGTTATTTCTTTAAAAATATCACACATTACATTATAGTTTTATGAGTATGCGAAACATCCTTTTAAGTAAATATATACTTGTGGCAGAATGTCCCGATCTTCTATAGCAAGAATAATTTTTTTGATTATTTTTATTTAGTTTATGATATTACATAAAAACAAAATAAATTAAAAAATTACAAGAAACTAAGCTTGTATTTATTTAATAAGTGTGTGTGTGTATGTGTGTGTGTGTGCGTGCGTACGTGCGTACGTGCGTGCGTGCGTGCGTGCGTGTGTGTGCGTGTGTGTGTTGGTGTGTGGTGTGTGGTGTGTGGTGTGGTAGGGTATGTGTGTGTGTGTGTGTGTGTGTGTGTGTGTGTGTGTGTGTGTGTGTGTGTGTGTGTGTGTGTGTGTGTGTGTGTGTGTGTGTGTGTGTGTGTGTTTGTGTGTGTTTGCGTGTTAGTGTGTGCGCATGTGTGTGTTCGTGTGCGCATGTGTATGTTCGTGTGCGTATATAATGTTTCTTTACTATCTTTTAATAAAGCCTCGACCTCATCATACCTAAGTTGGAGAAGCCATTCTATGACTTTTCTTCTTTTTTGAACTCATTAGAGTTAAGTAAATAAATTATAAGTTTTCTATTGACTATATTGTATAAATAACCGGCATGTCTTTTAAATTGGTGTCTACCAAAATTTGTCTTGACTAGAGTTAATTCAAAAGATTTTCCTCGTCAACAAGTTGTTTTATGTTTTGTAACAACAATTTTAAAATGTATAACTTTCTAACACTCTATAATCCACTAACTGAGTAAAGTTTTTCTGTAGGGAATCTACGTGGCTTATTGTACATTACCTTTATTAATGAATGTTGACCACGTTCCATTTGTAAGTTTCGTTTTCTGAGCACCACCCCAAACTGATTTACAATATGTCAAAATCGAGGATGGATGTAGATGTCTATGGGCCACAGCAACCACTTACCAGCAGGTGGACTGTGTACTCGTTTGTCACCCTATCCTATAAAATAAAATAAATAAAAAAATAGTAATTGTATGTCCCGGTAATAAACCCAAAGTGAATAGGACCTCTAGATAGCTAAGTCTATTTCTATGCTCACTATTTAGTTCGCTAGGTTTTGGAATAAGTTTTATGTCGATATCTTCAGTAATAATTATAATTTGATTGTTTTTATTCGTATTGAGATTTTGTTGCAAAGATTCAGTAAATTTCTCAGTATCTGTATGTGTTTATATATTATTAATTAATAAAGTAGAAAAACTAAAATGTACAAAACTAAATACTTATAATATTTTATTTTCTTCTTCAAAATAAAATTTGTATTTAATTATTAATATTGTTTAAACTTGTTTTAATAAACTTGTAACTTGCTTTTAGTTTATATAATACTTATTATTAATTTTAAGGAAACCAAATACAAGTTGTAGAAACCTCGTAACACCTCCTTACAATGTAACGTACCTCAGCAACTTAGATCTACTAACTGCATTCTTCCTTATTTTGCTGTTTATATTATTATTTTAAACTTAAATTCTTACAACTGATAGGTACATGTAACTGACGTTCTACCGTGCTTTTGCGTATTACTTATGATAATTCAAGTTCAGTCGTTGGTACAGCTAACAAAAACTTCTTTATTGACTCTACGGTTTTAGCTATCAATTCCTTGATAATAGGTGTTCCAATCTCTGAAATTAATTCCTTCCAGCTCTTGTTCAAAATATCTTGAATTGGTTTAGCTGTGAATAAAACAAGAATTTTTAAATGTTTTGTTGTGGATTACTTTTTATTTCTAAATACAAATCATAAATAAAGATTTACGTATATGTAGTTACGAGCTGAGTGACGCTCTATTTAATATACGAATATCGACGTAAAGTTTATATATATATATATATATATATATATTAATATGTAACGCACACCCTCAGACACCCCAATTATTATATTATGTTATAATCATTGTTGTGGTATTCAACACCTTTTGATGTTAATGTTAAAATATAATTGTTTAAATGTTTAAAAAATATTTATTGTTAAAATGTTTACAATCTTAGGAGTACGCACACGAGACTTTGTTGGCGTTCGTACATGTACTGGCTAAAAATATAAAGTTTAATGTTAAATGCCGATGCGTACAAAATGTGTTCTGTGTAAACCGAACATCTTGCCGTACAGTAAAGGAGATAAACTAAAAATACAAAAAAATGTAAAATGGTTTGAGAAAAGATACGTATAAAAATTATTCTGCATCGCGTTTAAGAATGTGGGTTCGCAATATAGGCGAAGTTGCTCGGTCTTGAGTGTTGAACGTGTTCGGGAGCGCAGGTGTGGACGCACGCTCGGCGCTGGCCGCGACGTGTTGCGTTCTCGGGTCGGGTTCTGCAGCGGCGCGCTGCGCTCTCTGGGCGGCCAACGCAGCTACAGGAGCGGAGCTTAGACCTTCCGTAGTTATGTTATCGAGGCTCATAGTTGAAGTGATGGCCGTGTTTCTTCTTTGCCGTAGTCGTTTACAGGCAAGGCATATAGCTGCTATCGCAACCACTCCCACCAGGATGTAAATCGCGGCGTAATGATGTATGTCATGGAATGTTATGTTTTTCTATTAATTGCAATGTAATCTGCAATCGGTTTGATGTTCACAAAATTGTTTGTCCGTTTATGAGGAATCGGTATGACTCGGTACAGGTAGTAATCATCTCGGCTGACTAAGGGTAATCTTATTTCAAAAATCAAGTACTTATCAGTCAACCTTGTTTTCACTTGAAGAAATTTGTTTAAAAAATTAATGGTGTTCATTCTGTCTGACAAGTGCGATATCTCGCTCATACTTTCCTGCGAAATGGTCGTCGATTACTCCGAAGAGACTGTTCGCGAGATACCCGACACCATTGATAAGCACTCGCTTCTGTCTGTCGTGCTCGGTTTGTTTACCTAGCAACATGTGGTTGTAGTACTCGAGTTCAGTGGTACTATGACGTAACTGCAATAGGACCGCATCATAGTGACTGTCGCCCTTCATTCTTTCACATATGTTTTCCATGTCTTTTTGATATTTGTCAAGTGCTTCGGAGCCTTCCCAAAATGGTTGCATGTTGTAGTAAATTATGAGCTTCCAGTCGTCTCGAATAAGTTGGATGTTGGAAATGGCGTCGAAATACAAAGATTGATTAAGTTGCTGAATAGTATAAGCACCATGCGTAGGTACGATTATACTCAAGAAAAATAGCAATGCAGCACAAATTGATATCAGACTTGATTTAGCTGTTATCTTGTTTTTTCTGATTTCAGGTTCCTGGTTTCCTCGCAATGGCAGTATGGATAATTTGGTAACTGGCAGTTTTAAAATTCCGTGTTTTGTTTTCAAGGAGACAACTCGAACGAAACCATCTTTTCCTGGGATTTACACCCATGACTCGCCCTGTCAACCATTTTCCAGCAGGTAAGTTATTGTCTTGAACTGTCACTAATTGACCGAGTTGAATGTTAGATGTCGACTGCTTCCATTTGTTTCGAACGGTAAGTTGTGTAAGGTATTCCGATTTCCAGCGCTTTCATATATCAGCCATTAGTTTTTCTGTTAAGTTCCATCTTGTTCGCGCTTCATGTTCTGTTTCCAGGATGGTTACATTAGCTGTTCTAGTTAAGAAATGCGAAGGTGTCAGGAAGTCGATGTCCTCCACAGTCAAAGCACACAGCGGCCTAGTATTAAGACACGCTTCTAGCTGAGTAAGTATCGTTGAGTACTCTTCGAATGTTAATCTTTGTTCTCCGATAACACGTTTGATGTGATATTTAAGGCTCTTGACCGCAGCCCCCCAGAGTCCTCCCGCTGACGGCCAAGACGGAGCGTTGAAGTGGAATTCGATCCCCATTTTGGTAAGTTCAGTAAATAATTCTGGATCAGAAATATTTTCTTTATTCAGCTTTATGTTTTGTCCCAGAACACGGTTGGCACCGACGAAGTTAGTGTCGTTGTCGCATTATATGTGACGCGGCGCGCCTCGACGAGCTGCCATACGACGCAGTGCGGCCAAAAATGCTGATGACGTGAGGTCAGACACGAGTTCGAGGTGCACGGCCTTTGTAGCCATGCACACGAATACAGCCACATAGCCCTTGTTTGTTTTTATGCCTCGACCCTTGCTTGCCTTGACGTCCACGTAACCCGTGTAGTCAACTCCAGTATGATAAAAAGGACGGGAGGGGTTTGTCCTGACTTCAGGCATATCACCCATGATCTGTGGTTGTATGCTGAGAGCGTGACGACGGCAGGTTACACAAGTTCCTAATAACCTTTTAATTGTTCGATTTCCGCCAACAATCCAGTACTTTTGTTGAATGAACGCTGACGTCAATCGCGTGCCGCCGTGAAATGTAATCTTATGCGCGCTCTCAATCAGTAATTGTGTAAAACGGCTTTTGTTCGGCAAAATTATTGGATGTTTCATATTATATGTGATATTTGCGAATTCTAATCTGCCATCTACTCTTAAGATGCCATTTCTGTCTATGAATGGATTCAACTTTGATAATGTGCTCTTTTTCGGTATTTTTTTATTTTGCGTAATGCTATTCATATAGTCTTTGAATTCAGCTGATTGCACATGTTTTATTAATAAATTAGTCGCTGTTTGTAAAGAAAACTCTTGTTCGTATGTTACGTTAGTACCCTCCAGCTCGCTGTCGAGCTCCCAATGGAGAGAGTCGATAGCGTTCCATCTAACACTCAAGGTCTTCATATATATATATATATATATATATATATATATATATATATATATATAGTAATAGTGGAGACGAACTGTCCACTATTAACAGACTCCGAGTGGTTTTCTTTAAGGTGGAGAAATGAAACTACTGTTTATGTTTATGAATGTACTGTCGAATGGGATTCGGAATGGAATATCTTTTGCATCAACCTTGCCTATATTTATTTGGCTGGCTCACTATTGATTTGCCAATGGTAACAATTAATATTTTGCCTAGCCAATTATATTGCTTATTTTATGACCAATGAAAACTATTTAAAATATACAATTATCTACGTTTCGTTTCCCGGCGTGAGACTTGTTTGTTGTTCACGAAGCTACGTCGCTGGACCGGGCTATATAAGACATGCAGATCGGTGCGCACGCGTAGTCGGCGGGCGGCGGCGGTGTGGAATACAGCTCCGGAACAGCAAGAGGAAACGAACTGCGGCGTTGAAGAAACGGCTCACCATTGGTCGACGGATACGTGACGATAGCGGCGTGTGAAGTCGGTGTGGCGCTGAATGATATTTGCGGCTGCTTCTTGTTTCTTTATAAGAACGTCAAATTATCTATATACAGTCCGCAGTATCTCAGTAGCCAAGAATAATTAGGAAATAAAATGTTTTTTTATTTATTCTCGCCTTCCGCGTTATGGTAGCAGCGGAGTATATATTATTTATTCCCGTTTAGGTTTGATTAATCTGGCTGCTACATCACTCTCCCCCCAGCGAAAGCGTACCGGAGGCTTGACGACTCGCCCGTATTTCGTAGTTTTTAAAATAGGTTTCAACTGGGTTGATGTAGATGATGAAGTTTCAAGCTTCCTCGCTGGTGGTTTTGATGATGATGATGAATCCTCTGCAGTATCCTCGTTAATAATATAGGCTGGCTTTAGTCGGTCGATCGATATAATCGTAGATTTCCTTCCGGGTATTTGTAGTTTAAAAGTCTTGCTATTTCTCTCTAATACTTTATACGGTCCATCGTAGGTAGGTTGAAATTGTTTTTTCATTGCGTCGTTTCTTACAAAAACTTGCTTGCATGTTTTCAAATCTTGGTGAATGAATACTGATTTATTATTTCTGTGTGATTGCATTTCGGTGCATTTCAACGATAAGGCTTTGTTAATTGATTCTCGAAGTTTAGTTACGAAATCGTAATCCATTTCTTGTTTGTTTGACGCTGCTGAACTGAAGAAGTCACACGGCAGCCTTATGCTGCAGCCGTAGGTTAGCTGAGCGGCGCTAAGACTAGTGTCTGCACGCGGTGTTGCTCGTAGTCCGAGTAGCACTGTAGGTAGCTCATCAATCCACTTTGTATGTTGAGATAAACGAGTTTTGAGTGCAGTCTTTAATGTACGATGCCATCGTTCGATTATTCCGTTTGACTGAGGATGGTATGCTGTTGTACGCGTCTTCTGTATTCCCATAGTTTGAGGAATAGGTTGCTTTCGAAATTCCTTCCTTGATCCGTTGTGATGGTTTTAGGTGATCCGAAACGAGTAATCCAATTTTCATAAATTATCTTCGCGACGGATTCGGCTGAAGTATCATCGGTAGGTATTGCTTCTGGCCATCTTGTTGTTCTGTCGATCATTGTTACGAGATAACGATGTCCTTGCGGTGAAGTAGGTAATGGTCCAACGATGTCAACGTGCAAGTGTTCGAATCTCTCCGTGGGTGGAAATGTAGCTAGACTACTTGATGTATGCCTTTGTACTTTGCATTTTTGGCATTGAATGCATTGCTTCGCCCAGTTGCCAACATCCGCTTGCATTGCAGGCCAAAAGAATTTTTCAGTGATGAGTTTTCTTGTTGTTCTAACACCTGGATGACTAATGTTGTGCAGTGCATTGAAGACTTCGCGACGACATTCTTCTGGTATGTATGGTCGCATGGTTGTCGTTGAGGCTTCACAGTATATAGGTAGATGCGTCATTGGCATTGTAACTTGCTTGATGGACAAGTTACCTTGCTTCGATAGAT